TGGGTGGGTGAAGCGCAGGGAACAAGGGCTGTGCTGGGTGGTGGCGGACGCAAGCGGGCAGTGCCACTGGGACCTTTGGTGGAGCCCCCATGTGGGGCCACCAAACGTGCGAGGGGTGTGCCAGAATGGGGTGTGGAACCGCATGCCAGCGCAGCCACTGGGGCCCTCGGTGGAGCTCCCTATGGAGCCACGAAACGTGTGAGGGGTGTGCCGAAATGGGGGTTAGAACCAGCATGCGAAGCGCAGGGGCCTGCGGCGTTCGGGTGGAGCTCCCTATGGGGCCACGAAACGTGTGAAAGGCGTGTCGAAAAAAAAGGGGTGAACCGCATGCGGGCGGCAGGCCACTTGGGGCCATTCGGTGGAGCTTTCTATGGGGATGGGGCCACGAGACGTGTGATGGGCGTGCCGAAAAAGTGGGCGGAACCGCATGCGAGCGCAGCCACTGGGGCTTTCGGTGGAGCTCCCCATGGAGCCACCCACGAAGCGTGTGAGGGGTGTGCCGACATGATGGGTGGAACCGCATGCGGGCGCAGCCACTGGGGCCTTCGGTGGAGCCCCATATGGGGCCACGAAACGTGTGAGGGGTGTGCCAGAATGGGGGGTGGAACCGCATGCGAGCGCAGCCACTGGGGCCTTCGGTGGAGCTCTCTATGGGGCCACGAAACGTGCGAGGGGTGTGCCAGAATGGTGGGTGGACCGCATGCGGGCCAGCCCACTGGGGCCAGTTCGTGAGCTCCCATGGGCCCACGAATGCATGTGAGGGGTGTGCCAGAATGGGGGAGGAACCGCAATGCCCTCCCCAGCGCAGCCACTGCGGCGTTCGGTGGAGCTCCCTATGGGGCCACGAAACGTGTGAGGGGTGTGCCAGAATGGGGGTGGAACCAGGTGCGGGCCTCAGCCACTGGGCCCTTCGGTGGAGCTCCTATGTGCCACGACTTATGTGCCACGAAAACGTGTGAGGGTGAGCCAAAATGGGGGGGTGAACCCGGGGTGAACCGCATGCCAGCGCAGCCACTGGGGCCTTCGGTGGAGCTCCCTATGGGGCCACGAAACGTGTGAGGGGTGTGCCAGAATGGGGGGTGGAACCGCATGCGGGCGCAGCCACTGGGGCCTTCGGTGGAGCTCCCTATGGGGCCACGAAACGTGTGAGGGGTGTGCCAGAATGGGGGGTGGAACCGCATGCGGTCGCAGCCACTGGGGCCTTCGGTGGAGCTCCCTATGGGGCCACGAAACGTGTGAGGGGTGTGCCAGAATGGGGGGTGGAACCGCATGCGGGCGCAGCCACTGGGGCCTTCGGTGGAGCTCCCTATGGGGCCACGAAACGTGTGAGGGGTGTGCCAGAAGGGGGGGTGGAACCGCATGCGGGCGCAGCCACTGGGGCCTTCGGTGGAGCTCCCTATGGGGCCACGAAACGTGTGACGGGTGTGCCAGAATGGGGGGTGGAACCGCATGCGGGCGCAGCCACTGGGGCCTTCGGTGGAGCTCCCTATGGGGCCACGAAACGTGTGAGGGGTGTGCCAGAATGTGGGGTGGAACCGCATGCGGGCGCAGCCACTGGGGCCTTCGGTGGAACAGAACGGAAGAAAAAAAAAGTTTAAAAGTTTGCTCCTATGGGGCCACGAAACGTGTGAAAAAAAAAAACAAGAAAAAAAAAAAAAAAAATGATGGGTGTGCCGAAATGGGGGGTGGGGAGGCATGCGAACGCAGCCACTGGGGCCTTCGGTGGAGCTCCCTATGGGGCCACGAAACGTGTGAGGGGTGTGCCAGAATGGGGGGTGGAACCGCATGCGGGCGCAGCCACTGGGGCCTTCGGTGGAGCTCCCTATGGGGCCACGAAACGTGTGAGGGGTGTGCCAGACTGGGGGGGGGAACCGCATGCGGGCGCAGCCACTGGGGCCTTCGGTGGAGCTCCCTATGGGGCCACGAATCGTGTGAGGGGTGTGCCAGAATGGGGGGTGTAACCGCATGCGGGCGCAGCCACTGGGGCCTTCGGTGGAGCTCCCTATGGGGCCACGAAGCGTGTGAGGGGTGTACCAGAATGGGGGGTGGAACCGCATGCGAGCGCAGCCACTGGGGCCTTCGGTGGAGCTCCCTATGGGGCCACGAAGCGTGTGAGGGGTGTGCCAGAATGGGTGTGGGAGGGGGAGGAGGGGGGAGGAAGGGGAGGAGGAGGAAGGAGGAGGAAGGAGGAACGCTGGGCGACGTCTCTTCAAAACGAGGACCCAACACCACAGGATTGGTGGGAAACATGATCGACCCACGAACCCGGAAAGGAATGTAGAACTGTAACACATGGCAGCGTTTTCAAAGACACCTGATTGGGTGACGGGCAAATGCAATACTGAAGGTATCGATCTTGATGTAGCCTGCCGAGGGCTGTGCTGTGCTGCGCCGTGCTGAATTGCGATGTGCCATGGCGCGACTGTGCTCTATAGCCTCGTGGATCGAGTCCTCCTTTGCATCCGAGTCCTGACCGAACTGATATGGATCTTAAGCTCGAGCTGCCTGAACACATAGTAGCTGCCCAAGAGCTAATTGACAGGGGGACATGCCAGGAGGACGCGGCGCGGAACGTCTCAAGGGATGCGCACAGGCGACGTGCCAGGAGGGTCGTGCCATGGGGTCGCACCGCGGGACGTGCCAAGGGGAACGACGCTACGGAAACGTGCCAATGGATGTGCCACGGGATGTGCCATGCAGCGCGCGACGGCGAACGTGCAATTCGGGACGGGACTCGCCAAAGGACGCCCCACGGAACGTGCCAAGGAACGTGCCAAGTTGCAATGCTGAGTGCATCGACCTTGAAGTACCGTGCCGAAATCAGTGCTGTGCTGCGCCGTGCTGAATTGCGATGTGCCATGGCGCGATTGTGCTCTATAGCCTCGTGGATCGAGTCCTCCTTTGCATCCGAGTCCTGACCGAACTGATCTGGATTTTAAGCTCGAGCTGCCTGAACACATAGTAGCTGCCCCAGAGCTAATGGACAGGGGAACATGCCAGGAGGACGCGACGCAGAACGTCACAAGGGACGCGCCAAGCGACGTGCCAAGGGACGTGCCATGGGGACGCATCGCGGGACCTGCCAAGGGGACGCGCTACGGAACGTGCTGGGGACAAGCGTTTCGCTCGAGACATCCTGTCAAAATCATCTGAAATCCTACGCGCGGGACGCTGCACGCGCGAGACATCCTCGGAATTCCTGCGAGCGGGACGTGAAAACAAGCATTTCGCCTGAGACATCCTTTGAATTCTGGCCCCCCGAACCCCCACGAGGCCAAGACCGCTCGAGACAATCCTCCAATTTTGCGAAACCAGCCGTTTCGCTCGAGACTACCTCAACAAATTACTAAAAACAAGCGTTTGCTCGAGACATCCTGTTTCAATAAATCCCAAGAAAACCAAATTACCCCGCCGGAGACGCGGCACGCGCGAGATCAGTCCTTGGAATTTCCTGCGGCGAAGGGCGCTTCCGTGTCGCGGTCGGCTCGGCTTAACCAGCGTGTCGCTCGAGACATCCTCAACAAATTCTGAAAACCTAGCGTTTTCGCTCGGAGACAGCGCGTACTCTGCAAAACACAGCGTCTCGCTCGAGACATCCTCCAAAGAAACAAATTCTGAAAAACAGCGTTTCGCTAGGGACATCCTCAAATTTTAATTCGCCGGCCCTCTTCCCACTCGTTATTTATCGCAAAAGAAATTCGCCGGCCCTCTTCCCGTCAAACCCGGGGGGAAACCATCTAAAAGAGAACCCTGGGCTCAAGCCCTTTCCGGGAAAAATAATACAGACATAGTCTGGGGACTATTTTTCAAGTGCTTGTTGACTTTTCTGGGGCATTTTGGGGGTATTTCTTATTTTCGTCCAAAATCCCGACGAGGTGAGAAGTGCACCGCCGGCGCTCGGGGGGGCAGCGGCGGGGACGACGCGGGGAGAATTCCCTGGCGGCGCGGCACGGGGAGGCGCCGCCGCGAAGGGGTGCCGGCCCGTCCTCGGATGGGGCGGCCACGGACGCGCCCACTCCGAGCCTTCATTGGCAGGCTTCTGGGGCTGCCTCAGGGGGGGTAGGCGACCCGAGGAGGAGGAAGAGGAGGAGGAGGAGGAGGAGGAGGAGGAGGAGGAGGGTAAGGAGGAGGAGGGGGAGGAGGAGGAGGAGGAAGAGGAGGAGGAGGAGGAGGAGGAGGAGGAGGAGAAGAAGGAGGAGGAGGGGATGGAGGAGGAGGAGGAGGAGAGACGCGCTCCCTGAGGCGCGCCGAGTTCGTCCGCCAGCCAGGCGAACAGCCCAGCCACCCTTCGTCAGTGTGTCAGAGCCCTCACTCCAGCACACCTCGTCGCCGACAGGCGCAACCGACCCTCCAGGAATTTGACCCCCCGAGGGTGAGAAAATAAATCACGAGCGCGTAAATTATTGAAACGCGTGAGCACGAGGTCAGCAGCGACAGCAGTGGCATGAAATTCGCCAGTGCAAGAATACTCTCTAGAGTACATATCAAAGCACGCCCTAGGGTCACAATTACCCCACCGGTCAGGAAGAGAGGGGAGGAGACGCTTCACCACAGGAACTACATGTGGGCACGAATGTAGGATATCATCAGCACCACTACATCCGAAGCGACAACCTTTGCACGCTTGACGATAAGGACGAGAAGTATTCATAGCATCGCACATACATCTGAGGATACTTAGACCAATAAAGCAGGGGTATTTGTGACCCAGGATGCACAAACGTAGAATAGCCACAGATATCTGGTCGGGCGCGATGTGCACGTTCCAGTACCTAAGACGGGCACCTAGCTTCTCCTGCAGGGATTCAAACGGGAAGAGACCGTGGAAGACTTGTTTGAGCTCTCCCTGGGGCTTCGGACAATCGAGAACACCATCTTCCCACGGGCGATTCTGGATATTCCGAGGGAGACCCCAGACATAATTGTATAATTCAATCATCTGCTTCAGGGGGGAGTGTTGATAAAACTTGTTGAACCTCCATCCCAAGATCAGGTCACACCCCTCCAGTACCTCCTCCAGCTCCAATTCATAGTCCACGAAGATCGGAGACCTTGCGGCGTTCCTGTAGAGTGCAGCTCGTCCTTCGTGCCGCAAGGATCGAACACTCCAGCTGTTGCTGAAGATATTCTTAAACTGGAACAGGACCGCATTCGGGATAGCATATCTTGGGCATGCTGTCAAGATCTGATGGCCGCCCCTCTCGGCGCCAGTAGCTGCTTTTGGGGGAGCAAAGAAAGAGGCGACGAACATGAGGACGGAGTTGGCGATGGAATTATAAGGCATAATGGCCTGATGGAGGCCTCCAGCGAGAGAGCGGATGAAACGGCAGCGCTCGAGATACTTGGCGATCGGACTAGTCCAGGAGCGCACGATACTTCTGTGGCCCAGATGAATGCCTAAATACTTGCCCCAGTTCTGAATAGCAAACTTCCGAGCGCGAATTCCCTGGTCCTGGAATCTCCTCAACTCCTCCTCACGGTCGATCTCCTGCCTATAGAAGACTATGACGCGCTTGGCAAGGTTCATCACGAGGCCTGTGACCAGTGATGCCCGCATCAGAATACGCATCAGCACTGGCAGGGCTCTGTGCAAGTCCTGCGAGAAGAAGGCCATGTCGTCGGCGAAGGCGCTCAGCGAGTGCTGAGGGCTCGGCAGTCTGCCCTGAATCTGGCGCAGCACTGGGTTGAGACAAAGGGCGAAAATACTTCCTGACATCGGGCACCCCTGTCGAACCCCACGGCCGATCTCGAACCCAGGAAACCGACGGCCTCCAAGGAGCATGTCCACGAAGATTTTGCTATAGAGGGCCTTGACCGAATTCAAGAAAAAGTCTGGAACCCCATGCTAGCCAACACGAACTCGATCCAGAAGTGCAGTAAACTCGGGAAGGCCGCCTTCACATCCAGGAGGACGGAGCCGGCGCTCTTGATACACTGCAAGATGCCATATCGCAGCATGTTGCACTCGAGCTTCAAAGTGTTGCCAGACATCTGGCGCGTGCGGACGAAGCCGTTCTGGGCCTCACTGGCGCCTAATTCGCACTGGTCGGAGATGGCCTTGTTCAGCGCCGAGCCTAAGATCTCTGCATCCGTGTTACTCAATGTTATCGGGCAAACATCATCGGGGGCACGCCAGGAGCTGTTCACATCTTCTTGGTGGGAGCCTTTCGGGATAAATACCATCGAACCTTTGTTGAAGTCCTCGGCCAGCGGGGCACCTGTCTGGGAGTAACAGCAGAGATCATATAAAGCGTCAGTAACAAATTCACCTCCATATTTCCAGACAAAGAAGCACAGCCCGTCTGGGCCAGGAGCAATCCCGAAAGCGGCTGATCGCGTGGTGGAAACGTTCCCGAGAGAGCTGCGATTCGACTGCAGGGTGGACGGGCTGGATGAACGGGGCAAGCTCGGCGGCGACCTCGCGAGAGGCTCCATCAGTGCTATGTACTCCGGCCCAATGGTGGCGAAGCGCATCCGCGCCTGCTTCAAGCGAAGGGAAGCGAGACCCATCAGGCGCACGGATTCCAGCGAGGGCCATCTTACGATTCCGCGGGGCCCAGGATTGGACTAGTCTTTGAATCTTGGCCAGCCGAGCATCTCGAAAACGCTCGGGAACAAAATCCTGCATCAACTCCTTCCTCTCTTCCTCAGGACCTCCTCTAGCCACCTCCCCCATGTGTTGATGCAACCAATGCCGATCGATCCACATGCAGGTGTCCCTATCTATGAACGAGGCGAGCTTCGGCAATATCTTAAAGGCTGGCTTGATCACGTGCTCGCGCCTGCTGTGCATGGCGCGATTGATGGTAAATAGCCATGACAAATGCTGGGCGGCAGTCTCAGGAGGAAAGTGCTTAGTCTGCTGACGAATACGAGTAGCTGCAAGATACATACACTCATTAATTTCTTTAACTCTGGTAGGGGGGTTCTCGGAGAAATCGACATCAGCGATAATATGTTGAAGAGCAGCAGGGTACCAACGATGCTTAGAGATCCAAGAGGGAACAGTAGGATCTGAAGAAGGTCCAGAGAGCCTCAGGGAAAGGAAAGCAGGGCAGTGATCACTGGGGGCCCGAAGATCACATACATCCCAGACTGTACCTGTTTGTGGATGATAGTCACAGATGTCGGCCGTGTATGAGTTTGTGAAGATTATGTCGGTGCGGGTTAACGCTTTGACGGTCCGTATGCCATTGTCTTCGGTAGCGATCCTGCGGGAGGGGGAGAGCTGCTCTACCTCTAGCATGTCGGGGAACTGAACTTCAAAGAAGCGAGCGAGGCCGTCGATGGCCATCTGGTGGATCCCGCCACTCACATACTGAATGCCCTCGCCTGGAGCCGAGAAGTTGAAATCGCCCAGCAGAAACGTCTGGGCCTGCGCTGGTGGAGGTGTCGCCTGACGGATCCTCAGAAGTAGCTGACGCTTCTCAGCTCTGCTGAACTTGGGATCTATGTGGATATTGATGAAGCAAACCTCTCCAGACTCCGCCTGCGCACGAATTCCGCGGCAACGACCAGGAGCGACCTCGAAGGGTCGAATGTCCCGAAGTTTGGCCAGGGTGACGGGATGGATGACCAGGAGCATTCCCGCCCGAATGTGCGAGTGAGGGTCGAATGAGCCGTAGATCCCAAGATGAGGTATCTCATTTTCGATGGCGACGAGGTCCCCTTCGTGCCCATGCGTTTCTTGGATCCCAACAATACCAGGAAATTCACAAAGCGAGTGGAGACGAGAGTGTTTACCAGAAATAGTTCCACGATGCCCATGCGTAGACCCAAAGAGCCCTTGCGAATTCCAAGTAGTGACCTTGAGACCAAAGGATCCATAGAGCCCAGAGAGGGGAGGGAGACTGGTGGGGGACCCGCTAAAACTACTATCTTCAGAGTCGGAGGAGGAGGACGCAGAGGAAGAGGAAGAACTGCTGTGCTGCTGACTAAAATTCAGATCTTCTCCCGACTGGGCCACAAAAGGCCCGATCCCCAAGTCGGGAAGATCATTGTAAATCTCTGCGAAACTAGACGGTGGCAAGGCTGGCTCCTAGATGAAGCCGTCACTGGAGGTGTCCGTCGCGACTTGGATGAGCTTGTTGGCGTCGTCGATGCTGATCCCCCACTCCTGGAGGTTGTCTATGTGCGGCTGAATGCTGTACTGGTTGTCGCTCTCCTTAATCGTTTGGAAGAGCACCCAGTGGTCGTCCATGCTGGTGTCGATTATGCAGAACTCGCCGCGAGCTCCGTTGACCCCGAGCTTGTTGGAGTCGGGCGTCCACTTTCCTATGATCTGAAGCTTGCTGAGGACGTGGGGCCATAGACGAGACAGCGTTCGCTGTCGAAGCCGTGCTTGAAATGGCATATCTGGCCGAACGCGGAGAGGTACCAGTCTTTTTGTGCGCGGATCGAACCATCCAGGTAGGTGTTCACCGGCCCAGGCGCGCAAGTTCTTTGCGTGCTTGTCACTATCGCAATGGATGCTGTATGACATGGATACTTTGTGAAACTTTGCGGATAGCTCCGTGCCAAGGGTCGGCTCGGTCTCCGCGATCTTCTGCTTGACTGCCTCGAAGTGGTTGCGACGATGACTCTCTAGAATAGCACGTGGGAATCCCCCGACCCATATTCGGCAAGGGTCGATCTCGTCATGACTCGCATTGGGCGGCGGGGGACCTGGCTCTGCGCGCCTCATCTTAACTCTTGAGGCTGATGAAGATGCTGTGGAAATAGTAGACGCTGGACGAGAGAGGGAGTTGAGTTGCTTCTGGAGCGAAGCGACCTTCCCATCGATCATGGCCTAAACCCTGCTGAACTTCTCGGGGTCCTCCATCTGCTCGTCGGAAGATTCATGGTGAGTGCGATTTTTCTCTATGCGCTGCTCGAGGCCATGGAATCGAGTCTCCCATGAAGTGCTGATATTCGTGATCATGGATTGCATGTCCTCGTAAGTCTTGGTCTGCGCCTCGCTCAAGACCCCGATGGATGTCTCCATTGCCGCAGCTCGATTCTGATATGTGTCGATCGCGGCGCGCATGGTGGATAACTCAGATGACAGCTGCGCCGACTGGTTGTGTAGAGGAGGAGGAGGAGGAGGAGGAGGAGGAGGAGGAGGAGGAGGGGATGGAGGAGGAGGAGGAGGAGGAGGAGGAGGAGGAGGAGGAGGAGGGTTTGCAACCGATTGGAGCCCGCTGTCTTTTCGGGGGCGACCTCTGGAGCAGTCGTGGCGACACTCCGGGGAAGACCGGTGCCCCTCGGGAGCCGCACCCACTGGGCAACGGGGGCGCAGGATGGCATGATAACACCACGCGCCCCCCCCCGGGAGGCGCGCGCCCGGGCCGAGCATGCAGCACAGACGTGTGGCAGCACATCGCTGAGCCCAGGCGGCGTGGCCGAGAGAGCGCCCCGCCCCCGAGCGCGCCCCGAGGAGCTCTCGGCGCGCCGCGCCGCCCGTGGGGCGCGGACGCACACAGAGAGTCTGAGCACGCTTGGGTCTGGGGACGATGTTTTGGAGGGTTCTCCCACGGGGGAGGTCTGAAATGGCTTGTCTTGGAGGGTCCAGACCCCCTCCCTTTTACTACAAAATCTGGAGTATCCCTCGAGGCGCCCATGGGGCCACGGACGCCGCCTGCGGGAGCGCTTTGGCGGCAGGATCGGTCGGCACCCGATCGCCGAAGAGGAGCGGGGGAGGGGGGGTCGAGGACCGAGGGGCCGAGGCTCCACTGTGCATCGCTCGGACGTCCATTCCCTGTGTTTTGCTCGGCCTCGTGCGTGGCTTTTTCGCCAAATGATCAGGGATGCTCCTCGATGGTCCTCGCCGAAGGAACAGTGCACACGTCCGAGCGATGCCAAGGAAGTCAGGTTCGGCGGCGCGCCCGGGGGAGAAGCGAGGCGGGGCGGGCCCTTCTCCGAGGAGGCTCGGGAGTTCCCCGGCCTTCTGACGACCTGCCTGGGCCGCTCCCGGAGACACGCAGAAAACCTCTCGGGAGGCGCGAGGGCTTCTGAGAGCTCCCGCCGCCTTCTGCGAGGGCCTTCTCCTGCTCGTTTCCCCCTTCGCCCGCCGCCGAACGTTCGGGTGATGCCGATTTCAGGGGTTCGTGCTCCTCGCGCCTGCTCGCCTCGAACGCATGTTTTTGTTAGCCGCGGTCGTCACGGGCGTTACGGGGGGACATGATGGACCCACGAACCAGAAGGGGATATAGACATGTGCAGCATGGTCACGTTTTCACGATACCCAACTGGGCGACACCTCACGAAACATCCCACGAGACACCCCGCGAAACATCCCACGAGACAACTCACGGAACATTACACGAGACACCTCACGAAACATCCCACGAGACACCCCGCGAAACAGCCCACGAGACACCTCACGAAACATTCCACAAGACACCTCACGAAACATTCCACGAGACACCCCGTGAAACATTCCACGAGACACCCCACGAACAGGCAACCACTCAACCAGACACCCCACGAAACATTCCACGGAGGTGCGACTAGGTGTGGTCGTGCTGGGGTGTGGTCGTGCTGGGGTGCGACTGGGTGTGGTCGTGCTGGGGTGTGGTCATGCTGGGGTGTGGTCGTGCTGGGGTGGTCGTGCTGGGGGGTGGTCGAGCTGGGGCGTGGTCGTGCTGGGGGGGTGGTCGAGCTGGGGCGTGGTCGTGCTGGGGCGTGGTCGTGCTGTGGGGGTGGTCGTGCTGGCGGGTGGTCGTGCTGGGGCGTGGTCGTGCTGGGGCGTGGTCTTGCTGGGGCGTGGTCGTGCTGGGGTGTGGTCGTGCTGGGGTGGGGTCGTGCTGGGGTGTGGTCGTGCTGGGATGGGGTCGTGCTGGGTTGGGGTCGTGCTGGGTGGGGTCGTGCTCGGGTGTGGTCGTGCTGGGGTGTGGTCGTGCTGGGGTGGGGTCGTGCTGGGGTGGGGTCGTGCTGGGGTGTGGTCGTGCTGGGGTGTGGTCGTGCTGGTGTGTGGTAGTGCTAGAGTGGGGTCGTGCATCTCGCTCGAGAAATCCTGCCAAAATTCAAAGAAATCAGAGAAAACAAACGAATTAGTCAAGACATCCTCTAAATTCCTGCGCGCGGGACGCGGCATGCGCGAGACATCCTCGGAATTCCTGCGCGCGGGGCGCTTTTCCGCGTCGCGGTCGGCTCTGCAAAACCAGCGTTTCGCTCGAGACATCCTCAACAAATTCTGAAAACAAGCGTTTCGCTCGAGACAA